AGGGAAGGGAAGGGAAGGGAAGGGAAGGGAAGGGTGCGGACCTGGCTCAGGTTGGAGCTCAGGATCTCTGCTCTTCAGCTGATTTATCTTTCTGATAACACGTTGCTTAAAAGCAGGGTTTGATGTCAGTTTAAGGTTCCCGGTGGGAACCGCTCCAGTCTCGAAACGCACTGTCGATTGTTTAAACGCACTGTCGATTGTTTAAACGCACTGTCGATTGTTTAAACGTTCGTGGGTTTTCCGATCCGGGCAAGTGCGTGGAATTAATTGTTTGGGGTGGGAAAGGTCGAGAGCTGGTGCTGCTGCCCCCCTGGAGCAATCCAGGACCAATTCTGTAGAGATCAAACCTCTTTTTTTTTTCCTTTTTCTTTTATTTTTTTTGTTTGTTTTGGTTTTTTTGTTTTGTTTTGGTTTTTTTTTGTTTGTTTGGGTTTTTTTTTTCGGTCAGAATAAACAAAACCAAGGTGGGGCTTTTAGGCAAAGGGAATGCATTTTACTAAGAAAATAGAAGACCGGAACACACGTTTTCATTAGTTACAACGTTATATAAAGGAGGAGGGGGGGAAAAACTAAAAACACAACAAAAACCAACCCCTTAATCAGTCCACATTTACGTAGTTTTTAGTCTCAGCTGAGCAATGACCCCCTGGGAGGCCACGCAGAAACGTTGTCGTTTAAAAAAAAATGAAATGAAATAAAATGAAATGAAATGAAATGAAATGAAATGAAATGAAATGAAATGAAATAAAATGAAATGAAATGAAATGAAATAAAATGAAATGAAATAAAAATAAAATTAAATAAAATTAAATAAAATGAAATGAAATAAAATAAAAATAAAATAAAATAAAATAAAATGAAATGAAATGAAATAAAATAAAAATAAAATAAAATAAAATAAAATAAAAATAAAATGAAATAAAATAAAAATAAAAATAAAAATAAAATAAAATGAAATGAAATAAAATGAAATAAAAATAAAATAAAATAAAAATGAAATGAAATAAAAATAAAATGAAATAAAATGAAATAAAATAAAATAAAAATGAAATAAAATGAAATGAAATAAAATGAAATAAAAATAAAATAAAAATGAAATGAAATAAAAATAAAATGAAATAAAATGAAATAAAATAAAATAAAATAAAATAAAATAAAATAAAAATAATAAAAATGAAATAAAAATGAAATAAAAATGAAATAAAAATGAAATAAAAATAAAATAAAATAAAATAAAATAAAATAAAATAAAATAAAATAAAATAAAATAAAATAAAAGGCTGCACTCCACCGGCTACTCTTTAATATCCTCTCCTGCCAAGAGGCTCCTGCTGATTTTCAGGAAGCACAAACCCTGGGAGAGAGGAGTGAGCTGGGTGGGAGCTCCCGACCCTCCCACGCCCCCCCAAGGAGCATTTTGTGCCGTCTGGAGGGGGCAGAAGTCAAAACAGGAAAAAAAACCAACAAAACCAAAAACAAACAAAAAAATAATCAGGCTAAGTGACGTCGAATGTGAAAAAGGCACTGCGGGCTCCTTACCGAGCAGCAAGATGAGCAGGTGTAAATTAACTCCCAAGATTAACTGTATCTGAAGAAGAGGGAAGACTTGAAGATGAAATTATTTACCTTAGGGGGGAAAAAAAAAAAGGAAAAAATTCTGGAAAAGGTGAAAGGGGAGAGCGAAATGGATTTAAAACACGAGCTGGCGGGCTGGCTGTTGCTAAAAAAAAAAACACTAAAAAAAGAAAAATAAAATAAAAAAACCCCCACGCAACTCGAATAAATAATCTCCTTTAAATACGACAAAAAACCGGGCGTGGCAAACAATAAGAGATGGAAAAACGACAACAACAACAACTAAAAAAAAAAGAGGCGTTCTCCGTAAAAAAACATCCTCATCTACGTGTCTGCGTGTGTGTGTGTGTGTTGGTCTTTATATATAATTTATATTACATGTGCAAGTTCGAGCCCGAACACCACAGTTTCCACCCTCCCCCCCCCGGCCCCACATCGCTGTTTTTCGGCGTTTATTTCATCAGTCTTCTGATCAGCCCTCCAGATCCCGCGTTTACCTGATCAAATTCGTCACGTGACATCACAGCCAAGTTTTTTTAGAAGCTGTCGAGCGATTAACATCGTTTTGTCGGGGCTTTCCGAGGATAAACTTGCATTTTTTTGTCCACAAGAGCTGATTAACGAACAACCAGAAACTAAAAAGCCAAGTTTGCTGCGGGTTCCACGCCGCTGCCGAAGGAAACAGAGCGGACAAAAGCGGCACCTCGAACCACCAGACCGTTCAATTTACACCTTGAAGCGCCCAGGGTGGGGGTTTTTTGTTTTTTTTTTTTTTCTGATGAGTGCTTTTCGTTGGTATCGAAGATCGATTATTAAAGGCAGAAATAAATCATCTCGGGGTTCAGCTAAAACGCCGCGAGTGGAATTTCCCTCGGTGCCTCAGTCCTCTCTCTCGTTCGGTTTGACAGGTAAATCAGGATGGGGGGGAGTGGAAAAAAAACCACAAGAAACCG